TAATAAAAAATCAATGAGTTAGTCAAATGTGAAGTAAATTATAACTAGTGCTCAATAATTTAATCAAACTTATAAGACTTTTTAAAGTTATGAAAAAACTATTTCTTGCTAATATTGTTTAATAAAGAGTTTTTAATATTAAATAAGATAATAATAAATTATAATAAGTTAAAATAATAGTTATTTGTAATATATTTAGCTAAATAGTAGAATAATTTATAGTTAATATTTATAAAGAATATGATAAATAAACTATCCATGTTTAAGAGTTTTGTAATATCATCACAATTACAGTATATCTACACCTTATTGTCGTAAATTCTTTGGACACTTCTGTCTCCAAGAACCAGTGCTAATCTCTTTAATATTTAAAATAGCTATAAAATATAATTAATTAATAGTTTAACAGTTTATTCAGTAATACAGACTTTTGGAAAGAAATCATTTAGGTCTAATAGTATTTTTTAAAATTTCAGTAGTGTTTTGTCTGTAATAAAGTGAATACAATTTTATGTAATTATAATCAGACATAAAGAATATCGTATTTATTTGTTCAGAATTTAAACCAAATTCTTGATTTCTAATTAAAAATTGGTCATTAAATATGCAATTACTATACAAATATTAAATCTCCTTTTCATATAAAGTTATGCTTTTCTAAATCACAAACAAATATTTAATATACAGTTGATTCTAAAGACTGCATAAAATTGTTAATATATTGTATGATATTGTATTTGCAACGAATTTATTTAAATAGATACTTTATTGTAATACAATTAACTTAGTTAGTGTTTAGTGTTTGATTGTAATTCCTTAAAAACCTTTTGTTTTAAAACTAAATTACATTTTTCATTTTTGTCAAAACAAAGTTTAATTTTGGTCTCATTTTAGAATGACAAACATACAGAATATTGTTTTTTCATTTAATTAATATATTAAATAATTTAATTTATAAAATAATAATAATAATAATTAGCAATATATTTACATAAGTCGCAAAATAATTTTAAAATTATATCCTTAAATAATTAGATAAATAAAGGTTTTATTTTAAAAATATCTAATAATCAAATTTTAATTGATTGAAAGAACCTTTAAATTTATTGTTCATCTGAAAGGTTTGTCTCAATCAATGTTTACTCAATTGACTTTAAACAGATGTTTTTGACTTTACTGGTTCACTGGCCCTTTTGTTTTTGGTACCGAACACTAAGCATATAAATGGTTATTTAATATGGTACTATTTTCTTAAATAATAAAATTTCTTACTGCAAATAACTGTGATAATGACAATAATAGTCAATAGGATGGCCAATGCAAACACAGAAATGAGTCCAATAAACAAATGATTAGAAAGTTGTGTCGATAACTTATTGTCATTTGGTTTGTCTGAATCCCATTCAGTGGGCTCTATATTGGGTCGGCAACCAAATAACAGATCATTCATTGACATATTAATCTACAGAATTGATAACCAAACAATTGATTATAATTAAGACATAAGTTAATCTAAAAAATATAACATTTCAAGACCTGTGAGACCAATGTTAAGACACTTCGGTCGTATTTCTCGACTTCATTGTTGGCAGTCATCGCATACACCTCTTTGTGGACCTCAAATAAACCAACAATTTTTGTGCCCAAAAAGTACTCAACTCTTTTTGGTCGATATCTAGTCCATCGTCGCGACCAATCAAAGAGTGAATTCATATAAAGTGTTTGCTCTCCTATTGTCTCTATTATATGAATTATTTTCATCTCTTTCTCCATATAAGTCGAGTGAATGTAGGCGTAAGGATGAATTATACCTGGCACCCATATGCCATCATCTGATATTACGCCCGTTGTTTTCATATGGAATGGCATATCGGTATCGTTGAGCACCGGTAGCAGAGTTTGTCCGTTTGAGTCGAAACGAAATGAGACGTAATGTTGACTCTTATCAGTATCGGTGTATCCAATGATGAAACCCGTGTTTGATAGTTTGGTTATATCACTGCACTGTCTATTACATTGTGTGGTCTTAAATATTGTAGACATTTCTGTCACCAAAAATCCAGTTGTAATGTCTTTGATATCTGTGACAACTACAACACAAAATTTAAATATATTTTGCCGTATTTTTTGAATTAATATATTTAAAACAAACTTTTTTGGAAGAAATCTGTGGAGTGTTTGCCGTTTGTATTTGCAAATGTTTCATTAGTTTTTTGTCTGTAAAATAGTGATCCCTTTTTGATGTAATTATAATCAGACATAAGGAATATGGCCTTTATTTGCTCAGAATTTGAACAAAATTCTTGATTTCTAATTAAAGAAATGCTTATCAAATATACAATCAATATGCAAATATTAAAAGTCATTTTCATATAGGCCTTTACTAAATGTTTTAGTCTAAATCACAAACAAATATTTGATATACAGTGCAATGATTGCATAAAATCGTGAATTTATAGTATGATATTCGTAACGAATTTATTTAAAGCAATACTCTATTGTTATACAATTAGCTCGTGTTTAACGTGTGATTATTTATAATAATTTATTATATTGTGCTAAATTTTCGTATTAAAACTAAATTATATTTTTAATTGACATCTTGGGTTTTAAAATAAAAAGTATTTAAAGTTTTATCATATATATAATACAAAAATTTATTTTTATATTAACAATATTTGAATTTTCATTACATTTTACTCTAAATGTCATGCATTTTACTGCTCATAAAAATGATAACGATACAATATTTAATTTAAATATCTATAATTAATACTTACATTTACGGCATTATTCAAACGTTTACTAGAAGTTAATAAATTACATTTCCATATGTAAAATACATTATTTTCTATATAATAACTTTTAAACAATAAAACAATTAATCTATTATTAACTTTATGCTTGAGTTGATGTTCAATCATATGAAATTAATTGAAAAGTATATATAAAAAAGGATTGCAATTAAATAGTATTTTTAGGACACAATTACTTTAAGAAAATAATGATTTTTAGAGAAATTAATTAATAATTACAGGAAAAAAATAATTTTTAATATCTTTAACCAAAACCATGGTAAATGAAAAATAATTTTTAACCTAAAAGTACTGGTCTGACATTTGCATTAAATATTTAACACCAAAACAATACTTTAAGGATAAAATATTTCTCATAATTAGTTGTTTTAATTAATATGTAATTTGGCATAAATTTAAGACAATAATATTAAGTCATTTAACAGCAAAACTAATTTTGAGACCATATTTCTTATTCTACTCATGAAAATATAATAAATGTTTTTGTGTTTTATTAAGAAAATAAGTTCATAGAGTATAATACGAAATGTCTTATTATATGAATCAATAGAAATGCCATAAAATTATATTATTTAAAGCTTCGCATGTAATTAGTCATTGAAATATCTATTAAATCAAATGATAATCATTTGAAGTCAGAGTATTTTAGACATCCGTCAATAATTAATGACTTTTTTATTTATTAGGTTTTGGGGAAATTTTATAAACATAAATTTTCATATTTTTAGATCTATATGTTTATTTTGTATTTTTAATTCAATAATTATATTTTATATTTACAGTTGCATTAGCTTAGTAACTAACAATTAAGCTTAAGATGTAAATATGTTATTTATTTATTAATACTGTTATGCCTTTCAGTCAAATATAAATACAATAATTCAATGAAATGTTATTACAATATTCAAATAAATTCTAACTTTTAATAACTTTTTATATTACTCCTATTGCACGGCATAGAGGGTGTCGGCACCGGACTATTCTTTCTTTCTCTCTCAAGTCTGTCTCAATTTGTCTCAATTTTGGAAACCGTTTTTGACACTAAATCATAGGAAACGAAATTTCCATTCAAATTACGTCAATAACTCATTTAAAAATAATTTAAATGTTTACAAATTTAAATATACTGTTTTTTAAATACAAACACATAGTTAAATTAATGTCATTTCGTGTGTTGATAGGCAATCAAAAATAGTATACAAAAGTCCATAATTAATATTCAATACAGCAAATCAAATCAATTATTTAAAGTCAATGTCAAAACTTTACGGAAAATTATTGTGAAAACCTTTTCACAATCAAAATAATACAAAGACATTATGTGAGAATCGCTTGAATTAGAAATTAATTTTAATCACTAAGTTTTTTAGGAATAAATTTATTTTAAAAAAAAGTCTTACTAAGTTTTATATTAAAAAATATTAAAAATATAATAATTTAAATATTATTCACATTAATAAATAGCAATATTAAGTGTAGGAATGGATACACATTTTAAAAGTTTTCCATCGATTGAATTCACAGATGATTGCGATAACGATATGATAAGTGCTGTTCGCGCGGATAATCTCAACTATTTTTATAATAAAAAAGCTGTTGTTTTAAACAATTTTAATGTTCATATAGTCCAAGGTATGAACTATTTTTCATTTTTCAATAAATTTCTATAAAATAATTAAAATAATTTTCATTAAAAGGCAAAATCTTCGCCCTCTTGGGCTCCAATGGCTGCGGAAAGACAACGCTTTTGAAAATAATTTTAGGCAGAATTAAGCCTAAGGAGGGTTCGGTACGAGTGTTTGGCTTAGAGCCGGGTCATAAAGACCTGGGTATTCCGGGTCGAGGGGTGGGATATATGCCACAAGAAATTGCTTTATTTGATGCGTTCACTATCGATGAGTGTCTCCACTATTTCGGGAAGATTTACAAAATGAAGTCAACTATTATTGAGCACAGAATCGATCTGTTGATTGAATTATTAAATTTGCCAAAAAAGGACAGAAAAATCAGTGAATTAAGTGGTGGTCAACAGAGACTGGTGTCGATGGCGGCCACTATAATACACAGACCAAGACTTGTTATATTGGATGAGCCCACGGTTGGCGTCGACTCTATACTCCGGTACAGGATTTGGTCCTATTTGGAGAGTATCTGCAAAAGTTATGGTAGGAATTCATTCATACCTTTAAAACTATTGAGTCAAATATATTAGAAAGAATATTTTCATTTACATCATTTGAATTCACTATAAATATTTTATGAATAGTATACCTGTACTTTTAAATTAACATAATATGCACTTGATGTGCATAAACTTTTTAAAAAGTTATTAAAAGTTAGAATTTATTTGAATATTGTAATAACATTTCATTGAATTATTGTATTTATATTTGACTGAAAGGCATAACAGTATTAATAACCACTCATTATATCGAAGAAGCAAAGAATGCTTCAAACGTTGGATTCATGAGTAATGGACTTCTTCTGCGACAATCAAATCCATACAAATTGATTGATGAATTCAATTGTCACACATTGGAAGAAGTATTCCTCAAACTATGTCAACAACACTATAAACAAATCAGAGACGACAGACACTCAAAACACCCGTCCCTTAGAGTGGTTGATACAGTTATGAAGCCAAAGAGAAGTTTACTGATCAATACGATGACTACAGGCGCTTATGAGGACAGTTATATTGAATTGACACGAATCATAGCTTTATTTAAGAAAAACTACATCCATTTAAAACTCGTATTCATCTCATTAATTATGTTTTACATATTACCCGTAATTACAATATATGGCAGTAGTAAGGCATTTGGTGGCGTACCACTCCATATACCAATAGCTTTATATACCGGTGCCGATAGGGCCACTTTCGAGATGTCACAACAATTTATACATTCAATTAACAAATCATTTTTGAGACCAATATATTATACGTCTAAAGAAAAGGCAATTGAGTCGGTAGTGGTCGGCAAAAACACGTTTGCACTCATTTACCCAAATAATTACTCGCAAAATATGAGGGCTCGACTGCCCGACCCTTTTAGTGTAGACGAACAAGTGCTCAATGATAGTACTATCCGTGAATATGCCGACCATTCAGATACTATAACCTCAGTGTATGTCAGGTATCTGTACTTCATTGACGGCTTAATGACATTTATGCGCAAAATTGGTACCGAAGAGGGTCTCAACCCAAAGACATTTACTCTACCCATCGATTGGACACAACCCATATTCAACGGGTCCTTCTATACGTCACACACATACCCGTCCACAGGAATCCTATTAATGATTATATATTTATTTCCAATGATTTTCTCTGCGTTTTTCATATTAAATGATTTGCGAAACAAATCACTGGAGCGCTCGTATGTAGCGGGAGTGAAGCCGTTTGAAGTGTTTATAGTGATCATGATTATTATGACTGCCTTGATATCACTTCAAGTGGTCGTCTCCATGATAGTTATGTATAATTTATTTGATATCCCAATCGACAGCTCAATATTACAAGTGTTTATATTACTCCTATTGCACGGCATAGAGGGTGTCGGCACCGGACTATTCTTTTCACTACTTTTAAAGGACGAGGTTTATATGTTTGTAAGTATTTTTCATATAATATAAATGCTTTAAAAATTGTATTAATTACTAATTAATATTACAGATAGTAATCGTAGGCATTGTATTACCGCTATTGATCTGTTCGGGTGTCATATGGCCCTCAGAAGCCATTCCTCTATTTTTTCGTATATTCACTGATTGGACACCAATTACTTTGCCATTAGAGTCGTTAAGATCTTTACTGTTCCGCAGGTTAACCATTGAGAGCACCCGGGTATTAATCGGGTTTATAGTATGCATTGTGTACAATGTAATGATTTTTGTAGCTAATATATTAATGGTTACCTATTTAAAGGATTTTGATATTTTTAATTTTATTCATTCAAAGTTTCATATCAAGATATGAATGATAATATTATTATGTTTATCATTGAAACCAATTATAACTGCACAACAGGAATAATTTTCTCGTTTAAATAAATAAGAAAAATGTAAATATTTGATATTATTTTGTGAATTGTATTGAAACACTCTTAATTGACAAACGTCATTAAGACTAATTATAATAAGTTTCAACATTTAATTGTTATCTAGCATTGTCAATTGTGCGAGATATTTGTTAATTGTTAAATATTAAATACAAAAATCAAGTAATCAATTTAAATTATTTCTACTCCCTTTACTCCATTTATCTGATATACAAAATAAGTTATTGAAAAAACATCTAAAATAAAGTAATCAAATTTATTAACTGTTTTATTGGTGGATATAACAAGCATTTAAAACTAGGGTTTCATTTAAAAGTTTTAAATTAAAATAGACTTTATTTCAGTAGCTTATATAATCTATCATTTGATAGTCTATGCCAGAAGTAAAAGTCAATTTCAACATGTATTTAATGAAATTGTATTCATTGCTAATACTGTTGGCGGCTGTCATACACATAAGCCAAGTGGTCGGTGGAGATGACCTGAAATACACGGTTTGTGACCAAAGATCATTCAAAATAGATTCGGCCACAAAATTGGTCAACACTTCCACAGCATATATCTTCGTAAACGATCTCTTCGTGAAACTGCAGCTCATAAATTACTATTCAGTCATTGAGTCGGTTAACAGACTCAGTGTCTGGAGCGACAAAATCAAAGCACCCATCGATATGGTAGTGAACCACCAGTTCTCCACTGAAATGCAACTAATCAACTGTAGGGATGGCATCTCATGGACTGTTGACTATAGTGCTAACAAATACATTAAGTCAGAAAAGACAACTCTGTGTCCGTCAGCCTTTGAGTATCTTTTAGGCAAAAAGGATGTCTCGCATATATTGTTAACCAATTATGTTATGTCCGACTCGAAGGACAAGCAGCTAACCATTAAAGCCGGTGCGAGCACCTATTTGTTAAGGTCAAAGGGAAAGGACTCCCATTCCTTGCGACTGGTGGAGAACTGGGAGGACCCTGAGCTCAAAGTGTCGGAACCGTTTACCGCATTGAACGGCGCGAAGATAAGGGCCGGTTTGATACACGACATGCATTGGTATCTGTTTGCCGATCGGTATTACTGTAAAGTGGCGCTCAATGACAGGACATACAGTGAATGCAAACCGCAATCAATCAATAAGTGGATCACAGACTGCGAGGGAAGGGTCGACCCCTTAGGATCCGCGACAAACACAAACGTATCGGTTCTGGCGGTGGTCTTAGTGGTGATCATAGCGATGGCGGTTCTCATTATCATTATATTCGGACTTTTGATTTACAAAGAAGTGTCCAAAAACTCCTCCAACACTAACACAACCACGAGTTCAACAAATTAAACACATAAGACATGCCTCTCATTTCAAATACTTGTATATTATTTTAAAGTTGTAATATTTTTGTTGACTTATATTTTGTATTTAAGATTTATAAATGAAAATATTTGATTTTAAATTTTGAGTTTATTAAATAAAATTATAAATATAAAATAGCCGGTGGTTTACTTGATTTTGAATGAAAGTGAATTGCAATACAATGAGGTCGTGTCCTCTTAATCTCAATAAACTGCTTCAATCGCATACTTTTGCCGCAATTCTTGTCATATATGCGGCAATTGTCGCCAAATATGTTTCCATAACTCATTACATCTGAATAGAAATCATTGACTTTAAACGCAATCATTTTGCCTTTAAGTTGTGTGATTAGGATTAAATCAATAATATAATCCAAACAAATGCTCTCATTTGCAAAACCAATATCTAAACGATATGAATGTCCAGATTTAATATAATCATTGAATATTGCCATTATAATAATCTTTTTGTGTTCCCAATCCTCATAATTTCCAAAATGTATAACTATTTTCTTGAGACTCCAAGCGCTCAAAAATTTTGAATATGAATTGAAAGCTTTTTGGTAACAAGTGACACAATTTGGTTCACAACTGGTTTCACATATGACTTTCAGACCTGTGATATAGAGTTGTATAAGATTTGGAAAATTTATAAGAAACACATGAAGTGAATGGACTCCTAAATGGATGGATCCCATGAGAGACAACTTTCTGAGATTACGATTTGTGTAATCAGTTGAACACAATTTACGGAAACGATTGCTCTTTAACTGAATTTGTAATTCTTGTAACCTTTCCAACCAATCAATTGCTTTAATTGATGTCAAGTGATCACAAGAAATGTAAAAAAATTCAAGCAATGGACATCTTTGGCAAATCATATCAAATACTTGTTGACAATTGTCTTTATCATTGACTGTTATATTGAGATGAACTAATTGCGAACCAATTTGACTCAAGATTTGATTAATTTTGGCTTTTGTTAAAACTGCATTCATATCATTAGTGAATTTAAAAGCATTAATACTTTTTGATAAATTGAGGAAAATTTGTGGACTTATTTGGGGACAATCGTGAAACACCACTGACTTTAGTGTTGATGACATTAAAAGTCTTATTTTGGCAATACTTTCCAATGAAATATGGTGTAGTTTGTACATATGAAGTTCATACACATTAGATAATAATGTTGTTTCAATTGTCTTAATTTCCTCATCAAAATAAACTGAACGATAATTGAGGCAATTCTCTAATATTAGCCAGATTTGAATTTTTGGGAATATGTCAATAATCCTCTCAAATAATTGTTTGTCAACGCAAATAGCCATTATGATAACTTTTTTCAAATGTAACTTTGACAAAAATGCATAATTTAATTGTGTGTTTGAATTTTGACGTTCACTGGGATTTAAGTTAATAATTATATCAAACGGCTTTCCATTTATGACATTCATTTTAATCCCTTTTGTAGTGAACGCTAGAGTTAAGATCTCAATGGATGATAATTGTTTGTCGACAATACTTTTGAATTGTTTTGATACACGACTTAATTTGCATTTCTCTTGTAGTGATAACTTTGATATAATATTCTCTAAAATAAAGTCATTCAAAGTTCTTGGTTTCTCTGTGAACACCATTTTGGCAAATATTGTTCATTTCTTCAATCAAATGATTTGTTTGTATTTTTCAATTTAAAAGTCTTTATTGAATTATCGTGATTATTATAACACAGTACAAATAATATTTATATATTAAATACTCCAATAAATATTTAAATATATCTGAGAAAGCAAATCAAATTAAGGCTCGCTCGCAAGAATGCTTTAATTTTATATCTCAATATTGCTTACTTGTAAACAATATTGAAATATAAAATTGAAGCATTTTTGTGAGCCCCAATTTGTTTTGCTTTCTCACATATATAAATTTTTACATTATAAACGAAATAAATAGACAATTTTATTTATAACATTAATTTATTTACAAAATTTCATTTCAATTGTCAATATTCTTCATTCTCCGACAGAATCCATGATTATATCGATTATATCATTGTTTATCATATCTTCAAAATGGACGTCTGGTATGAAGTGTTCAATGATTACATTTTCATCACAATCTGTGTCCGAATCGGAATCATTGGAACTATTCATGAGTTCAGCAGATAATCCATTCAAACGAATCCTTATTTGATTTTCAAGTCCATTGGAATTCATACGATTGGGAACTGCAGTCCTCTCATAGACTCCTTCTGACCATATGTTATGAATTATATATTCATAGTTTTGTCGACAAATTGGACATCGATTATGAGTTTGAGACCACTGTTGAAGACATTCAAAGCAAAATTCATGAAGACATGGATCCGTTATGGATTTGTTGGACATATCACACAAACAAATGGACAACTCTTGACTTCATTGTCCGCATTCGTGTTTCCATTACTTATTTCATCTTTTGCTTGATTTTTACAAATATCTTCCATTTTCTTCTTATAGTTTTGGTTATTATGAGACAATTATTTTTAATAATATCTTCTCTATAATAATATCCAATGAGTTATCGTATGAATGACTTCCAAATAATTGAAAAGTTGTTCACAAATTCGTAACGTTATAGTCGTTATAGTCACCCGTGTGTTATCTAGGTCATCAAAGGGTTACTCACGTCAGAATTGACCTCATTTTTGTAAATGCCTCAGGTAATAATTAAATGTAGCCCCATACATATAACCGTGTCTGGTACTAAATGTTACCGGTTATTGTTTTATCTGCATTTGCATCAAACTATAATAAATTATTTTTATGGATTTGAATTGCTTTTATTTTTGACAAAAATGCATATACACGATGACCTAGGTTACCCACACTATAATAGCTTATATTAACCCTCTGATTTTTAATACTATGCATAAAAACAATTTCTAAAAATACTATACAATTAATTATATTAATGAATTTAAATATAATATTTGAAAGCTTATTACAATGTAACAAATAGTGCATAAATAATAGCAATTTATTGATAGAAAATAAATACTCAATTTTCAATACTTTGTAAATAATATTTATATTATAAATAAAGTGATGAATAAAAGTGTTTAACAAAAGAAGCGATTGAGACATGACTTCAAACGAAGTGAATGAATGAAAGTGAACTTCAATTTACCAGTTCTTAGTGACCCATAAAACCAATTAATGATAGAAACAATGACATTGCAATGCCCTTCATAATGACCCGGCACATCATTTCACTTAAAATAATCAATTATGAATAGTTCAGTGTTACGAAAGGTGTTTCAAAATAACTTATTTAATGCTGGATATCATGGACTTTGTTAGTGTTGACGGTGAAAGTTGAATGAATTTAAAGTTTCTTAAACTTTGTAAATGAGCCGTGAATTTGAATGTCAACAACAATTGACTTTCACTACAAATTAAAATAAATGATTTGAATGAATGACTGTTTGGGAGTGAAATGTTCATCAAATCATTTCGTGGTCTCCAATGAACTCATGTTTGAGTGCATTATAAGTGCTTAATGTTTGAGATCTTTGCATCCATTCCTTCAACTCATTTCAAACACAAAGCAATTGATTATTGAACTTATATTTTGCACTGAATGTCAATTTCACTTTCGGTATTACAGTATAATTATGGTTATAATATTAATATTTCTATGAATAACTTTTATAAAATCATTCATCCAATAAGTTTAATATTAAGGAGTAACCAATTTAAATATACTGAATGTAAACAGTAGTTCAGTAATTGAAGGACAGGTATAATAATTTTGGGCGAAAATCTTGAACTTAATATTTTGAAATGTATACGTTTTAAATGACCAAGCATTTCTAACTTGTAAATCTATCATAATAATATGAATGAATTAAAATACACATTAATTTTGCTGTTGTTGAATATATTACAGAGTAGATCATTAACAGATTTAGATAAGATAAAGTTAGTTTAATTTTGTATAGTAAGTCAATATACTTTGTATACAGATACTTACGTAAAACAACCTTACTGGTAAATGAAAAACCTAATAAAATACGATTTTAAACAATATAATTAGCTTTGCTATAAAATATTAATGAATTTCCCATTATAATAAACAAATTTATTATAAATTATTATATAATTTATTTGTTTACTTTTGTAAATTATAAATAGCGTATATTCCCAAAAATTTCCAGATTTATTATTTTTTTATTAATAGTAACAAAGAATAGGAATATTTTTTTAAACAAAATGAAATCAAAATTGATTTATGAATTTTACATATAAATGACATTATAATTATAGTTTGTATATTAATTTATTGGTATGGAAAGTGTAAATTAAATTAAAATGTTGACTTAAAAAATCAAGGATAAATAAAAATACAATTTCGTGCATCTTATTCATTAAGCTATAAGTAAATAACACTTTAAAACGAAAACTTCAAACAATTCTGTGGTTGCATTAAATGATAAACAAATGATTTGTTAATTAAAATTATCGGACGTAATATTAAAAATACAAACTTTTCCATTACATAAAACAAGGTGTTTCGTTGAGTACAATAAAATAGTATTGAACTCAACTTGGTATATATAGTACATACCCTTATAAAAATAAGTAATTAGTGACCAATTTATAAATCGATGGGAGGGTTACCTATAAAAGGAGTTGAAGTTTTGATTTTTAAAAATAATCGACTTTCTACTCTATTCCTAAAACAAGTGGATAATAGTTGCAATAATTTTAGCAAAGTTTGTTTCATTTACTTTTTGAACCCAATTGGAGAGTAAGATAGTGTCATATTTGTGAATAAGATGTCCAAAACAGTTTCATTACCAAAGATAATGAGCGAGGATATAGTGATCAGTGGAATGAGTGGTCGGTTCCCTGAGTCTGATTCCACCGATGAATTCGCACACAATCTGTACAATGGAGTCGATATGATTACGGATGACAACCGTCGATGGCCTACAGGTCTTAG